TTATATTTTTTCCTAATCTTCACTATTATGAATAATACTAAACATCTTTATATGTAACCATTTGTTTGAGTTCCTATTCCCTTAGGATAGATTCCTAAAAGGGACCCTGCCTCTCGCAGGTCAAGTGTCATCTTCGTAATGAGGCCTTCCTAGGCCATTCTACCTTAAAACTGCATCGCTTCTCCCCCAGTACTCTGCATTCCTCTTCCCTGCTTTATTTTCCCCCTTAGTACTTATCACTATATAATATACTATAAGAGACTATGTTATGCTGACTGTGTCTTCTCCAATAGGTTACAGGGCAGGGAATTCTGTTGCTCTTGTTCACTGCTGTACCCCTGGCACCCAGAACAGTGTTTGGCACATAACAGGTACTCGGGATGACTCATGAATCAAGGCGATTATTACAATATTAGCAAATTTCTTTTCTGAAAGCCTACTTCCTCCAGCAAGGCAAAAAAAAAAAAAAAAAAAAGCTTATTTCTCTACATCCTCAATAGTACTGAGTGTTTTCACTTTAAAAATCTTTGACCGTTTGCTGGATAAAAAAATGTTAACTTTTAATTTCTCTGATTACTAGTGAGATTTAATTTTTCTTTTTCTTTTTTTTTTGAGACAGTCTTGCTCTGTTACCCAGGCTAGAGTGCTGTGGCGTCAGCCTAGCCCACAGCAACCTCAAACTCCTGGGCTCAAGCGATACTCCTGCCTCAGCCTCCCAAGTAGCTGGGACTATAGGTACACGTCACCATGCCCCGCTAAATTTTTCTACGTTTTGTAGAGATGAGATCTCACTATGTTGCCCAGGCTGGTCTTGAATTCCTGGCCTCAAGCAATCCTCCTGACTCAGCCTCCCGAGTAGCAGGGACTACAGGCACACGCCACGCCAGGCTAATTTTTTTCAATTTTTAGTACATATGGTGTCTCACTCTTGCTCAGGGTCTTGAACTCCTGATCTCAAGCGATCCTCCCGCCTTGGCCTCCCAGAGTGCTAGGATTACGGGTGTGCGCCACCATGCCTGGCCCAATTTTTGTAGTTTATTTTGGAAAAAGATTGTTGATTTTCCAACAGGAGCACTTTAGAGATAAAAGATTTTTTTTTAAGCAAAATTGTATCAAGTCAGATAAAAAACAAACTCCTTTTTGAATTTTGTGCATCTGAAGGAAGAAATTGAAAACCAGTTTCTCTTTCCCTCAACTACTTTGTGTACAATTTTGCTGTTTATTTACATGAAGGCTTAAGATAAAATGTGAAGGAAATCTTGAAACAAGGTGATTCTCACATACCTGGATAACATCAGCAGGCTTGTTTATGTGTTCTTTGAAGACCAAGATGGTGGGGGTGTTGGAATTGATGTTGTACTGCCTTGTCATCTCCTCTGACCCTCTCAAACCCATGTACACATATCCAAAGGATAAATAATCTTTGTAGGCAAAAGCAGTCAACTGTTAGGACATAACAGAGAGGAAGAGAATGAAATTGAAAGCATAGCATTCAAATTACAAATCAAGTGGGACTTGTGCGTGTCACTGGGTGGAGATGGAAGCCAGCGTATACAGCTCCACTAGACCTTTCACACGCTTTGGGCTTCCAGGGATTCTATGATGTTCCATGCCCAAAAACCGTACTAACAAGGTAAATATAAATATTTCTTTTTTGCACAGATAAAGCAAGATGATCATCTTATCGAGACCTGTACCAGGTGGGAGGCATGGGTTTGGGGAATTACTGGTACCCCAATTGGGTAAGATGGCAGTGACCATGCCAATGGCCAGGAAAACTTCCTCTCCCATCTCATGCCATAGTAATGTCAAGAGGTGTGCTGAAGTGTAGTAGAGGGCATCATTCAGAGGGCAGGTTTGGAGTCAGACAGGTTCAAATGGAAATCGCATACTCACCACGCTGTAGTGAGACCTTGGGTAGGTTATATGACCACTCTAAGCCTCAGTATCTTGGTCTATGAAATAGGGATAATATCTCTATCACTGGGTTCTTCTGAGGATTAAGTGATATATGCATGGAAAGCACTAGCACAGTAACTAGCATCAGTAGGTGCTCAATGTATGGTGGTTAAGTAAAACTTGTGGTCTTTAAACATTTCTCATGGAATAAACTATTACTTACGAAAAGGACAAATAGGCTACAAGTTCCAATTCAGAGATTACTTTCCACACACACACAAAATGAAAACATTATGACAGCACAGAAAATACCTTGTACAGCAGTGGCACAACGGGTGTTTGGTCAAATAGAAGGACATGAGGTTTATTCTCCTGTTGCCAGCCAGAGAGGAATCGGACATAATTTTTATTTGTAACCTTAAATTGAAAACAGAATGTTAGTCTCAATATTTAATT